CGTTATACTGGCAATGGTAGGCAATCGAATAACTTCGTGTCCGTACTCTAGGGCCAGTTCATCGATTACAAAGCGGAGCTTGGACGGCTTAGTTGCTTTTACCAGATTTAACAACTCAACTTTTAATAAAGTTGGACTTGCATCCACACCATTTCTTACCATCCACGAGACAATTTCTTGCTTTTTATTTGCTTGAGTTGGTGGTTTATCAACTTGTACAGAATGATACGGTGCATTGTCCATTATAATTTTCGATGGGTTTTCTAAGCTGACTAGCAGCTTCTCAAACCACTCTTTAAAAACCTCAAAGTTCATTTCCTCATGGAAATCGCTTGTAGTTTTAGAGGCAAATGCGAGGAGGCATTCTGGAATAAAACCTTGAGAAGCTGATCCCGCATGACATATTATAAGTCGGGCTCCTTTTCCCGATGGAACTTTTGAGGTGGAGGCCGCTGTATCATCGGTTCATGTCCGCGAAACCGTATGGTTATCATTCAACCATGTTTCGTCAATAAACACGACATTGTCCCAATCTGTAATTGGAACGAAGTTCCTTATCGCGCGTTGTGAAAGGGGTCTAGACAGAAAGAAATCTCACGAAAAGTTGTAACGACACTTTTTATGTCAGTCATTCAGCGCCATCTATCGAATAGATAGGAAATCATTACTTTTCATCTCGGTATTTATTTTAAATTGTCACTTGTCAGTCATTCAGCGCCATCTATCGAATAGATAGGAAATCATTTCTCAAGGAGATTTTACCAATGTATAAATTGTTTTAATTAGAAACCAACTGAAAAATATGTAGGTAATAGCCGCTTTCATAGATGGCGTTGTAAATAAAATCGTGTCGAATCAGTTTTACTTGATCGTCACAACTTCGTTCCTATCGGGTGTCCCACGACACCACACGGCTTTTGATTTCTTTATTTTATTTACTTGACGTAAGAATGTTACTCTCTTCAAAATAATATCGTAGCGTTCTAGCAGGATTTTCCGCTTGACAGATTTTTTAAATCTAAAGCCAATCGATTTCAAAACCTTTGATAGAGACGATTTACCGCCAAAAAATAACCCTGCGTCTTTTAACGACCTCATTAGCTTTTCCCTTGTAGGATAATCTTTTCTCGAGTAATATCCATAAATGTGGTTGCGAATTGCTGCAGCATCAAAATTATCAACGCCAACAATTTTCTTGTCCCTCTTTCTTATTTTCGGTGTACGCAAAGTATTATCTTCTGAGCCTGATGGTCCGTATTTCTCTTTCAGAATTTGAGTTACTGTCCTCTTCCCTATTCTCAATGCTTCGGCAACGCGTTCTCTCGGTTGTGTCAATGGTAAAAGAGGCCCATCGTTAACTGATTCACGTTCAAAATAATTGTACAATTTCACCACTAGTTCGCGAGATTGACTGTTTAGCGTTTTCCCCCGTTTTGACATGGTAAGACTGTAATGTTGTTCTTGTTTACTAATCGTTAAGCAATCGGAATCAAATTTATAGCCAGGTAAACGTAGTCAGTAAGATCAGTCCAATAAAAAAGCCGGGTCAGAAGAAAATAACAGAGAGCAAACCAAACACGCACAGTCACTTCGCACAACGACAAAAGACTGCGTCATGTAATGGCGACATGACATGGCGTCATCGACAGGCACTGGTGTTGTAAAGTATAGACAACTAATGTCAAATTGGTGAACTGGTGCTGTTGTCTATGGCTAAGAGGCGTTGGTCGTCTATTGTAATTGTTTTATTGTTTTACTTCAACTTAATTTGTGAACATGACATTACAATCTGTGTCCCCCAAAACCGGGTTGATGGTTTGACTGGAGGATCGAGTCTCCGTACAATTTTCCTATTTAAGTCTTATTTAAGTAAGTCGTTTCTAAACTATTACAGGTAGGTATACACAACAGTAGCCTATTACAACAAATCAAAAAAATACCTTTTGAGTTTCCTCTTAAATACTACTTTGTCTGTTTCTCGCCTGATGTCCAACGGCAGACTATTGAGATGATAAGGCAATCGTTTTTTTAGAGTTCTGTCACCATAATAATTATGTACTCTTGGAACAGTATATCTGCCGTGGGTCACCGAGCGAGTGTTATATTCATTAGTGATTTTCCTCAGGTCATTCTCCCGACTGCCATGATTATTTACTAAGAGTTGGTACTTATGTTTTAATGTAACTGGTAAAATTCTACATATTTTAAACAGTTTAGTGTAATCATTTTTATATTTTTCTTTAACTTTTTTGTTAACAAGTAATTTTATGAACCTCATTTGGATTGCTTCCAGTTTATCTATGTATATTTTGAATGTGAGACCATAGCAGTCGAGAGCATAACCGATTTTTGAATCCACCAGTGACATGTATATACATCTTAATGTGCTAATAGGAACCTTGAAACTCAAATGATAAAATTTATTTAATAGAATTCTGAGTTTATCACATATATATTCTACATGGTGGAGCCATGAGAATTTGTTGTCGATTTTCATGCCAAGGTAATTCACACAGTTAGTTATTTGAATAGGTTTACATTTACAATTTATTAATTTGTTATGAAAGCAAGAAAATTCATGTGTATACAGCGGTATAGGTTGGGTAGGGAGTTGTGAGTAGGGCGAATGTATTAGAAGTGATTTAGTTTTGTCGGAGTTCAGTACAATACCGTTATCGTGGGACCATTTCACGATCGAGTCTATGTCTTGTTGTACTGATCTACAAATATCGACGATATCGGTGCCAACTCGCAGTATACACAGGTCGTCTGCATACATGTGCGCTGTGCAGTGTTGCAGCACGTTACATTGGCTATTTACGTGCATCAGGTAGCTGACAGGACCGCATCCGGATCCCTGAGCCACTCCACAGTTCACTTCTATCTTGTCACTGTACGTATCTGTCACTTTCACGCGGTAGGAACGCGCTGTGAGATAATCACTGAACCATTTATGCAGTGGTTCTCCCACACCGCATTCCTCTATCGCGCGTAAAAGCGAGTTAGTGTCTAAAGTATCGAAAGCTTTTTTGTTATCGAAAAATATTTAAATCACTTGTTTCTTATCTTCTAAGCAGTTGTTAATTTCATCAGAGAATTTTGACAGTAACGTGTTTGTACTGCTTCCTTTTATAAAGCCATGTTGACTGCTATGTAAAATTTTATTTTTAACTAGGTACTTATTTAATTGACTGACTATACATTTCTCCATTATTTTATCGACACTTGAAAATATAGCTATTGGCCTGTAATTGGAAACAATTTTACGACTGCCTTTTTTATGGACTGGGCGAACTATTGATTCCTTTAATTGGTAGGGAATTTTGCCGTGTAGTACAGAGAGGTTAACCAGCTTCGCCAGTACAGGACTCACTTTATCAACTATCAGTTTTAGGTCGGACATGCGAATGAGATCACTAACAGGTGATTTGTTGCTATCCATTTTTTTAATTATATTTTTTATCTCGTTACAAGTAACACGCTGCCATCTCATACACATTTCCGGTGGTTTAACATAGGATTCTCTATTTAAAAATGTATTGTCGCACACGTGTTTTATGTCCTTTATTTCTTGTGAGAAAGTGTTCGCGAATTGGTCACATATATTTTTAGTACTTAGTTGTCCTTTCATATTCGACAGTATGACATTGTCTAATGATTGTTTTGTATTACCTAGCATGTTGTAAATTTTTTCCCATAGCTTTTTGATATTATTTTTACATTCGAATATACATTATTTCTCAAATTTGTTTCTACTTTTATTAACAGCTTTTTGGCACTTATTTCTAAATTTGGTATAATTAAGACGCTTTAGCATATTCTTTGGTTCCTTACTCCATATGTTGAACAATCTATTTCTTTCTTTTAACATTTTCTTTAGATTGCTGTTAATCTATATTTTATTTCTATTACTGTGAACTACTTTTCTGTTTTTGTAACATTCACCATAAATTGAAACAAATCTCTGACTTAAAGCGTTGTACAACTCAATAGGACATTCCAATGAGATTATGTCGTCAAAATTAATACATAATAATTTTTCACGTACCTTATTATTATCTAAAATTCGATTATTGTTTACCTCGACCGGCCGTAGGTGCGACGACGCTCGTGCGCTCGGTTCTCGGAATATTGTCCACCCCGTACGTTTCCATTGCACCGCAACTGCTGTTAAATAATGATCGGATATTTTATGTTTAATTACCGCAGAGTCTATAGACACATCACTTGCTCGTACATTAATATGATCCAAGCAAGACTGCACTATTTCCCCCATCAAAATTTATTTTCGTGTGACATCCTTGATGCACTGTATAAACCCATACTCGGACAGTAAGTTTTGGTAAGAAATTACATGATTATCTGATTTATTCAACAAGTTAATATTTATGTCGCCACACATTATAGCTTTTAAATCTGTTGGTAATGTTTCTAGCAAATTGCGGAATTCCGTCAAAAACTGGTTAATCATGTTTGTTTTGGTAATTCTTGGAGGTCTATATATAGCCAATATATGAATTAATTCGTTATTAAATTGTAGTGCAATGGAAACACACTTGGCCGACCGCATTCCTGTTACTATGGTCGATTCGCACACTCGCGCGCAGAGTTCTGCACGCGTATACACCAACACCCCGCCGCCACTGCGACCCGTTCGTGTAAACTCACTCAGGTTATACCCACTTATTTGGAATAATGATAGTAGGGAGTAGTTAATATTAGGTTCTGTTATGACAATAACATCTAATTGTTTTATACTACTATTCAACACTACTAATAATTCGTTGAAATGCTTTTTATAGATCTAATATTGACATGCAGTACACATAAGGTCCTTTTGTTTTCCAATGAATTCAACCAGATATTTGTATCATTTACACAGTTATAATTTACAAGGTTTTCATATATTTCGTCTATACTATTGAAATCTGCGAATTCTATTGAAAAGAAATAGACCAGTATGCGTTCTTATGAGGTAGATTATGTAATTACGTAAAAGTCTAGGTGCATTTTGCGATCCTGCTGTATAGTTCATTAAGTTCGCTTTCGCTTCTTACCCATATAGCTTGCTCGCCTTCTTTTTTCTTTACCAGCACTTTACCATTTGTCACCCATACAAAGTCGTATATGCCGCGTAAATTCTTCTTTGCATTCCAAATCAGGCTTTTAGTGGTTTTCGATAAGTCTTCGTTAATGTAAATTATGTTGGTCATCTGCCCCCATGTGAGAATATTACTGTTTATGTCTATTAGTGACCGACGCTTAGATAACCAATTATTCCGAGCTTCAGTTCCTGTTAGTTTGAAACCAACTATAACCGAAGGTGGCTTCATTCCCGGTTGAGGCGGTCTACTACGCTTTGCCCATTCAATTTCATTGTTGTTAGCACCTATTTTGTTACCAAATTTAACTACTAGTTCTTTGACAACTTCTCCCGGGATATATTCAATGCCTTCAATCTCCAGGTTTTGTTTGCGGGTAGACTGGTCAAAGTCATGGATTTTTTGTTCCAGCCCAAGGTTGTACTTTTCCAAGTATACACACTTATTTGATATATTCAGTACCGTCTTTTCCAGCTTAGTAATTTTTTCTTTAGCTCGTTCCTGCTCACTAACCAATACATCATACTTGTCAGATAACACACTTAAACTTTGTTGAATTGTGTCTAGATGTTTCCTGATGCTGGGTATAGAACTGACCTTTTTCTGTATATCTTTCAGGATTTTTTGCAGTTCTTGCTCTTCCTCATCAGGCTCCTCTACTTCCGATCCCTCTTCCTCGCAGTTGTTGCAGTGAATTCTATTTATACCTGCTTTCATATCTGCTGCCAGTCCTCTCACACAGCTCCTGTGAAAAGTCCCCTGACACTGTCCTTGACACATGAAATGGGATCCCTTTTTTGAAAGTGTCTTTTTACACTTCTGGCATTCCATATTGACACAATTTATGTGGTTAAACAGTAAATAACTAGTCGAAGTCGATGTAATTTAACGTAGCGTACGTGCGCATCGACCGCCGCTGCGCGCGAGACTTCATTTGTAACAGAAATAGAAACCGCGAAACTGATTTCTCAAATGAACGTTTTATTACGAACCACAACGTTACAGGTGTTGCCAGCAATATCTCACCTAAATTGTACCTAACATCAATGATTTTTCTATTTAGTTATTTTTTGTATTTTTATAGTTAGTTAAAAGAATAATAAATATAATAATGTTTTATTATAATCACAACATGGTTATTGATTTATTGTGATATTTCTTCACAAGTAATCATTGCATTCGATTCTACTTATCAGCTTTCGATTTTTAGAGTAACATCCCTAGCGTTTAAAAAGAAAAAGTGTTAACTGACGCAACATTGTAACAACGTTCAGTTCTTTAGATCAGAAATTGTTTATTATGTTTAGAATGGTTTATTAGTGAAAGCAAATCGTAAAATTACTCGTATCGGTCATTGTTACAATAAATATGTAATCGTAATTGAAAAAAGTGTGCAGTTCTAACAAAACGAAAAAATATATTATTTTATGTCCACCGTTACAAGGTTACGTTGTTGAATTTTGATGAATTGTCAAATGTTACCTATTTAAATGACCTCACTATACATATCCGAACGCAGCTCGCTGAACCAAATGTCACTTTGACAGTGTCACGTTTGTTTACGATCAAAACTGAGATTATAAAATGCAAAACGGATTCTGTCGCGTCGTTCGTTTGGTTAGCACGTGCGTCTAGAATTTTTTCAAACCTTTGGTGATTTTGTGACTATTGGGTCTTTTTTTTTGTTATTTTGTGCTGTCCTTGGTTACGGTGTGTTGTTTGTAACTAAATATTATTACCGGTAAGTGAACATGAACGGAAATAAACCGCCCGACCCTCCCGATATTCCATGTCCAGTAACCCCTTCTTTCATCCCTATTCCTCCCTTACCCGATCAACCTTCAACCCCTTCCAACCCCTTAGAACAGTTTGCCAATGTGGTCTGCAACGCTACGGTGGAAGAAACCAGGTCCCTCGTTTCTACCTCACGGAAACGAAATGGGAACGATGAGGTAAGTGCCCCCCCTCTTAAACGTCTCCAAACTCAAACGAAAACCTTTATTAGTCGTGACAAATACACAAACAATGACAGTGGTCCCTACATGGTACATGTTTCTCGCGTGGAGAGCCAGTTAGGCTCTGGTACAACTCTCCATCCTGTTTCGTTTGGACTTTTTCTTTTTAAAAACAATATAAGTAATATTGTCAGAGATGGTATTAAAAAAGTTGGAAGGAATAGAGTATCCGTACAGTTTTCATCCCCTCAGGATGCTAATGCATTCCTAATTAACCCCCTCTTAAATATTTGTAAATTCACTGCCAGCATTCCTACTTATAACATTACTAGAATGGGTGTTGTTTCTGGTATCCCTACCGACATGAATGATGATGAAGTAATTAAATTTGTGACAGTGCCGCAGGGCTGTGGGCAGATTATTAAAGTCAGGCGTCTTAACCGAAAATCATTTAATGAAGGTATCTTGGAGTGGAAGCCAACAGAATCCTGTGTCCTCACTTTTGATGGCCAGGCCTATAATTCTCTTCTTGTACAGCAATATATTTACCCCACCGTCCAATGTAGGAAATGCTGCAGGTTTGGTCATGTGGAGTCTATCTGCAGATCTAGGCCTAGATGCAACAAGTGCGGACATGAGCATCCCAGTAACGAATGTGAGGTAACAGAAACGGGGGCCTTTTGTGTCCTATGCTCTGGTGGTCACTTTGCCAACAGCAAGGCTTGCCCGGAGTATGGCAGGCAGAGGGCCATTAAGATCATGATGGCGGAAAAAAACATTTCCTATATGGAAGCTAATAAAGTGGTCCCTTCTACTACTCGCAGCTATGCTGATACCCTAAAGACCCCACAATTTACCCAATCCTCTCAGCCCACCCAACCCATCCAGTTTACACAGACCCTTCAGTCTACCCAACCCCCTCAACAAACCCAGTCCTACCGAAAAACTGTTCTTCGGCAGCCTAAACCTCGCCCTACACTATCCAAATCCTATGATATAACTGCACACCAATCTATCATCCACTCTCCCCAACCTTCTCAATCTAATGGTTGTGCTCTTAACTCATCACTCGAGACTTCTACTATTGACCTTATAATACAGCTTTTGACTTCTCTATTAACCTCCAATTTAAATCCATCTCAATCCCCTTCTAGTATACCGTCCAACGTTGCCAACACACTCATCAACTTATTAACCAACTTTAAAAATGGCATCCCAACAAGTATTCCTACAGTTGAATGTGAGGAGTGTGTTTCATAATTCTTGTTGAATAAATACAAGCCTTTGGCCACGGTACTATTATAATACAGTAGTGTAACTCGGCCGCATGATAGAAATAAATGCCTACAGCCGCGCGGTACGTAAACATGCGTTAGGGCTGCCCGTCTAAAGCATTTTAATTATATTTGCCTACTTTCTGTTTCTATTTAGATTTGTGATTGTAAATATTCTTTTTATATAAATAAATGAAATACTTTGTATATTGAATAGGAAGTGTTCAATAAAAATGCGCGTTGTTTTTTGACTGGTAGATTTAATTATTTTATTTTCTTTCTGCATTGGAGGAGTTTTTAGTGGTATATGTTGTTATAGTAGCAGCAGAAACACTTTGTGAAAATTTCGAAAACTATCTAATGACACACAGACGGTAATTTTTTTTTTCTAGTATTATTCATACACACAGATAATAAACAAATATTATTAAAAATAAAATACCACGTCTTTACTTTGAATTATGAAAAAGTAACAAAACACACATGCACCGAAGTTTTAACACAAGCGTAAGTAGGTAGGTACCTACCGTATCATGATTCATTCAGAACCTCATATAACTACCTATTTCACTCGTCTCAATAACTTTCCGTTACTCTATTCGCTTTATTAATTAATCCAAACACCTTTTTTTTCGTAAAATAGGAAATACTTATCCATAAAAAAGACACACATTATGTACCTACCTACTAGTAAGTAAAATTATTTTATAGTCTTACCTTTCAGAGTTTCCAGGTAATTTAAAAAAACCTTATGTCTGGATGCGTTATTGACGAATTCATACAACCAAAAACAGCACAATATTTCCTACTCGTCATATTAACTGATTTTTAGAGAAAAAAAATCGCGCGGTTATTGTTAAAAAAAACAACACACCGTCGTTCGACACTGCGGTACAGCCGTGACTGTCTGCGCCCCGAGCGCACCCCGAGATCGAGGCGCGTAGGTATAGGTATAGGTAGGTAGCTCGCGTTTCGTCCGTTTGTATGAAGTTGGAGTACTGTATTATAATTGTACCGTGCTTTGGCTGTCTCTCTTGCTGAGACTTGGCTTCTACCGGGTCTCAACTTCCATGTTCCAAATTTCAACATGCTTAGATGCGACAGGTCTGATGGTTACGGAGCCGCAGCCCTCCTTATAAATAACAGTCCCTCTATTACCCCTCCCCTTACCCCCATTCCCAGATGATATCAGCATTGTAGCAGCGAAAATCAGTAGTGTATCTGTGCTTTCCATCTACATTGCTCACCCCCAGCAGAGTTTCCTCCCTATATTGAGAGACTTGCTACAGAGCCTACGGAGCCCAATATTAGTTATGGGAGATTTCAACTGCCATCACTTTAGATGGGGATCTGAGCACTGTGACAGTTTTGGCATTGGTTTGTTAGAGATCATTGATGATTTGAACCTCTGTGTTCTCAATAACGGCTGCTCCACTCGTAGAGTCCTCCCTGGTCAGAACAAAAGCTGTGTTGATTTGACCATTTGCTCCCTGGAAGTTGCTGCGGCTGCTTGCTAGCGGTGCACGAATTTGTCTCATGGTAGCGATCATTACCCAATATTATTATCCCTCCCTAGCTCAACTCACCTGGAAAAATCAAGCCCTCCCCTTTTAAAATATAACCTCTCGGAAGCTGACTGCCGAAATTTATCTCAAATCCTTGAATCCAATGTTCATACCCTCCCTAGATTTGACTACAGATCCCTATCCTACGATGATCGCGGCCATGTGACGGACTATTGTGATGCCTTTGTGGATGCAATTAGGTCAAGTGCGGACAGCTGCTTTAAAATTAAGAATTCCTCTAGGGGCAAAATTCCCTCACCCCCTTGGTGGGACAGTGAGTGTACTAATGCCATTAGGCTAAGAAAAGAGTCCGAAAGGAGATACAATGCTCACATGTCAACTCAAAATTTACTAAATTATCAAAATGTTTTTGCTTCTACCAAGCGACTCCTCCGACGCAAAAAGCGCATTGGTTGGATTAGCTTCTGCTCCTCTTGTCCCCATCTACTCCATCTTCTATTGTGTGGAAGAACATAAATCGGTTCCGGTCTGGATGCTCTCCCTCATTGTCTTCCTCTATCTCCACAGACACAGCTGAACTCCTCCTAGACAAAATTGCCCCCCCTTATGTCCCACATCTAGATGAAGTCTCCCAACCAAGTGTTCCAACTCAGTCGCTAGGTACTCACGATGAGCCTTTCTCCTTAGAGGAGCTGAACATGGTTCTTCACAATGTGCGAGACTCTGCTCCTGGCATGGATGGTATCCCATACTCTTTTATAGCCAATGCTAGCTCTAGTATAAAATCCTACTTCCTAAACATTTTAAATTTTTGCTATACCAATGGTTGGGTCCCGGATAAGTGGAAGGTTCAAATAATTATTCCCATTTTGAAACCTGGCAAACATGCAGGAGACCCAAACAGCTTCAGACCAGTTGCTTTATCATCAGTTTTACCTAAATTATTTGAACACCTTATTAAAATCCGTCTTGAGTGGATTGTGGAATCAAGGAATCTACTACCTAATTATCAGTTTGGCTTCCGTAAAGGTCTTAGTACCATGGACAGTGTTGCGGTGTTGGTAACCGATATCCGT